AGATGATCTCCCTGTGGGGTTTGAGGGCCAAATTTAGCCTTTTGTCTTGGGATTGGGCCCATAATGGGAGGTATCTGTCTCCTCAACAGTCACAAGACATCTGGTCCTCTGTGGTGGCTACTTTGAGGCCTGAGCCCTGACTGACAGCCTATAATATTTTTAACTGACTTAGCTGCCTGTAGCATTTTTTTCCTCTGAAGAAGTAACCCAAACTTCCGTGAGGGATAATGGGTGATGACTGATCTGGCTTCTTCAAGCTGAAGGGGATTGAAGTTGTTGAATGGCAGTCAGGAATACTCTGCAGAGCTTTTAACTAGTGGCCCTCAGTAGGTAGCAGGCATTTTCACCTGGGATAAGGTATACAGCTTTAAGTCTAAAGGAGACAAAGGCAAAGAATCAATTAAGTATGCAGGGGCCAAATAATAGAATCAACAGGGTATTTATGAGTATAATTTTAGTAATGAGTTCCCATAAAGAGGATAAGGTCCAGAGAATTTTAGAAACTGACGTGTCATTCATTTGTCATACACATTTAGGTATTACAGTTGTATAAGTTCCTCTTGTGCTGTTAGAATGTCTATTGTCATTGATTTTGGAGGATGGCCTGTTTTATTAATTGTACCTTTTTATTTAAGAGAGAGATCAGCTGTGGTGTCATTTAAGGCCTGTTGAGTCTAGTTAATTATGGCCCCAATATGCGTTATAAGCTTTTTCTGGAAAAGATCTGGTGGATCCCAGTAAAAGGAATCTAAAAGGAATTTATAATTATCTCTTAATTTTAGTTGTTGAACATCCAGAAGAGTGATAATAGTACAGTACAGCAGAGACAGTAAGCTTAACATAGAACATTAAATGGAACTACTATTTTTTTATTTAACCATGAGTGTTTTAACATTTGAGCACTGAAGAAATTTGTGACATTGTTTGGACTGCTCAGTATTTAAGCATCTCTAAGTATAATACACACACTACATTTAAATTTTTGTTTAAAAATTATTTGACTGGTGACCTCCTGTTGGTTTGACTTGGATCTCCTGGCTGGAGCACAGGAAAAAGGCAGATGCCTGGATCTAAAAGAAAATATTTGTCATCATAAACAATCCCAATTTTATATTTGAAGGCATGAGTATACCATAAGATCAGCAACAATGAATTGTCTTAGTCATATGAACTTTAGTTGAAGCATCTCCCATATCGCTGTGGAGATTATTGGGGCCTTCAATTAATGAACAAGGGCTGGTTAAAGTTACCAGGTGGCCACTTTCTTATTCATCAGTTGAAGTCCTGTCCAGTGTCTCCCCATCCCAAGGGATTTTATTTAACCAGTTTTAGCATCATTTTGACCAGCTGGCAACCTAGGTGGAAGCATGTTTTTTTAAATCTATAACCCAAATAAACCTTGATTAAATGATCTGAAAATGCAAAAAAAAAAAGGAGGAAAAAAGATTGTCGAGCTCAAATAAAAAGGAACAACTGTTTACAAAGCAGACAAATGGACAAACATGGACAGATGATCTGTACAGTATAAACAGACTGGACAAACAGACAGATATATAGACTGACAAATATCTTACAAACTTGGAGTGCACTCAATATTTGGCCAATTTGAACTATAATAAATAAACAAGTGCCAACCTTTTTGCAAATTAATTAATAGAGATCTCTTGAAATGATAGCAGAAAAGGAACCTAATTTATTTATGTTTCCTCTGAGATAGGTCAGCGAGGGTAAAAAGAACATGACTATGAACTGGTCCCTCAGGACCAGCCTGTTTCTGAAGTGGGAATAGGGACTGAGGCTGAGAAGGCTGTGGAGTGGGAGATGTAGATGGCCACCGGGCAGCCAACTGCCCAGCGGGTGTCTGTGGGCAATTACTGAGTGATCAACCACCATGTGACAGGGAAGCACAAGATTGCAACTGATTACCATGAGACCCACAACTAGAAGGCTGCCGCTGGTCCGATAATGAGGGACTACAAGGTGGCTGCCATTTATCCTGTGACCTGTCGCGAGATGGTGGTGCACTGTCATGTGGCAGAGGGCCACAAGCTGGTGGCAGTCCTTCTTGTGAGCTGCAGTAAGGTGGCTGCTAAAAACCATGTGGTATGGGATTGCAAGATGATGGTCAAATACCATGTGGCTTGCTAGGTGGCTGAAACTCATAAAACCTAATATGGTGAGCTGGTGGGAAAAATTGAGGTGCACAAGTAGGGGACAAAGAAGAGCTGTCTGATGGAATAGATGGCTCTGGAGGGTACTGAGAAATTGGAGACTGGGGAGAGAAACTAAGGGAAGGATCAGAGGCCACTGGGGGTGAAGAAGGGGAAGAGGATGGCACAGGAGGCATGGAAACCTCTGGCTGAGAAAGTTGCAGGGTTTGGTCTTGGAGATATAGGGGAGGAGCTGTAAAGATGGGAGCCACATCATCTAAGGGTCTGAAGTGGGGGGAGATCCTGGTGGAGCAGAGCGAGCCAGAAGTGTTTGGGCCATCACAGAAGACAGAGTGAGAGAAGGACACATCCTCAAAGTGAAAAAGTTCTAAAGATGAAGGGTTTCTGCCAACTTGCCACCACTGGGACAAAAGCATAAATAAGAGATCAGCTTTTTGGTTTTCATAGCCTTCTAGAGGCCAAGAGCACCCAGGTTATGAACCAGGTACCCCAGTGTGTTTTTCAGGGGACCGGAAGTGGTCCCCGTGACCGAATTATAAGTGAGCTGAGAGAACAACTTCACCTTGGGATGTAAGAGCTTTAGCTCCCCTCAAGGAAGGTGGAAGCTGTGCTGGGTCACACCTATCAAAAGGGGTCCTCACCTGTTTTGAAAGTGTGACACAGAAGATCCCAACTCCCCTTCTCCTTGGCTGTCACTGAAAAGTGTGGGGCGGGGTCCCAGGGAACAAAAATAACAGTTTTGCCTCAGGCTGTGCAGCCTAAGGACCATGAAAACTGCTGTCTCTGTCCAGGGATGGCAACAGATAGGCTTTCTGACTCTAGTTGGCGAATTTTAGGAATAGAAACAGAGAACCCCGGACGTCAGCTCACCTGTCATGAGTGAGGAAGGTCTCTGTTGCATGTGGATTAGTGGCAGCAAGTAAACAATCCTGGAGGAAAAAATAGGGGGTTCATAGGCAGGGAGCTCGGACTGGGAGTGACTCTCAGGAGCTAGCGCTCTGCCATCTGAGTAACAGCACCATAATGTTAGAGAATTCTGGTTAATAGAGAAGCAAAACTACAAAATGAACAGATTTATTGAGTTGACATGGAAAGGAGCACACAACCCCTGGCAGCTGGGCTGTCTCCTTCAACCAGATACAGAGCGGCAGAGAGTTGCATGACCTCTGATTGAAGTGGCACATGGGACGGATATTGATGATGTGTGTGGAACTGACTGGACTTCTCTGTGTGTGCAAACAGGAAGGGGAGTTGCAATGAGGGCTGAGGAAGAAGCAGGAAGTGGTAGGCATTCCCGCTTTGGCCTTCCATCACGTTAGACCACTGCCATAACTGTACAGTAGTTTATACTAGGGCAAGAACCTTTCAATCCCCAGCCCAGGAGTTCAAATCGTCCCAGAGCTTTGGGACACCACTGAGTGAATAACGGCTCTGAAAGGAGTAAAGTAGCACCACTGCAACAGGAAATGCTTTTTCCAGTGTAGGAAGTGGCTCGTTTTCCAGTGTCTGAGCCCCAAGGGTAATCTGCCTGAATCGAGACACAGGTAAATGAAGCTTGTATCCTAGGCCAAGGTCAAGGTCAGTGACCAAAGGAATGGGGACAGATCCCATGACCTGCAGGGTCAAAGTCACAGTGTGGAGCCAGGGCTCCAGGCTGGACCGATAAATGCAGTGGGGTTCAGGCTGCATGTGGAATAGGGGTACAGCCCATGCTCCACGGGTGTCCTCTCCAGGGCTGCTTTTCTCTCCTAGTCCCACCCGATCTCTCATGTTACTGAGAAGTAGTTTTAAACCCTTCAGGCTACTTGATTTTTATGTTGTTTGATTCCTAAGGCGTATTATTTTTGTTGAACTTTGAGACTAAACTAATGGCATCTGTGGTGTACGTGTTTGCTTTATGTTAAACAAAAGCAATTTAAAACCACATGCATTAAGAGTGATAGTGTGGGCATAAAAACAAGATTGTGTAATAAAAAACTGGAGTCTTATCTATTAGGTAAGCAGACCTGCACACTAGTTAGTACTTAGTAATCACTTAGTAAATTTTGGTTGAATTAAATGGGATATTTGTAGCATTTAGAGAATTATCTTCAAACATAATTTATGCATGCTGTTCTGAAGCCTGCTTAAGACATATGGTTTGAATACTAAATTTGTATTTATTTTAGTAGAACCATTTAGGAATTAATTAAGCCTAATACTTCAAATGCCACAGCTCATGTTTTGATATTATAGATATAAAACTCTTTCATAGATATTTCCACATTCATAAAATGTTCTTTATGTCCATGAGCAAAGGACTTAGAAGTGGTCAGCCTGAAGTCAGAAGTGTAAGTCCATGGACCAAGTAGAGAGCAGATACCACTCAAGTCTTCCTTTTATCTCTGGGTAGACCCTTGAGGACAAAAATCTGGGGGGGGGGGTGGAATCTGAATATGTAGAAGTTTTAAAATTCACACATAGCAATAGCCTATAGAGTGACTTTTTTCTGATTTAGTTTCATAAATTGCTACGTGAAGAAGTACTGCCTAGTAGATAATACTCAGAAATCAGCACTTAATATGGCAGTAATGGTTATTGCTGTCATTCTTTACATCTTTAAAAATAATTAAGCATTACTGCATAAGCATTATAAAGTTCCCCCATCACCATTAGGAGGGTAGTTGAGGTTTGATGTAATTTAGCAAATTGCATTATACAGTAGTTAAGGTTTTTATGCAGTGAAGTAAAATGCGTTAGCAGTTAAGCATGCCCACCATATAATGCACTGTGCACGGCTCCCGTCCCAGCTGCCGCCAGCTCTTTCCCAGTGTCATTATTGCCTTGCAGGCTGATGTTCCTCAGGGAGTGATCCGCGTGCAAGCTCCCCATCTTTCCAAAGTTTCCATGGCAATACAGCTAACTGAAGAACTAAAAGCCAGTGATGTACTCGCCAGGTTCCTCAGCCAAGAAAGGTAGCTGCCTGTTTTGTTTTAATTATTCTGGGGGGTAACTCACCTGCTCTCTCCTCTTCCCTCTCGTCCTTTATTTTTTTTTTTTTTTCACTCTAGGTGACGTGAAGTCTTTAAAAATTTGTCTTCCCAGGAGAACAGAAGAGGCTCAACAGGCCATTGGGATGAGTGTAGTTCCTTGGGAGGAGTCTGAGTTTAAACTGAGCCTCTTTTGAGCAGACTGTGTTCCTTCCTGGGGTAGGAAAGGGCTGGGCGAACGAGACTACTGGGTCATCTTCCCAGAAGACATGGATCGCAGGCAATTAGGGTAATCATGAGCAAGGATGTAGTGGGATTAGAACCAGTTTTTTTCCTAAGAAATGTAATGAATATAGAAATGTTCTACTTTAAGATCAGAAAGCATGAGGAGTTGAGTGGCCTTGACTCTGGCGTCATAGGGGAGAAAGAGCCCCTCCTCAGGGGCCCCCAGACCTTCGTGTATGTTTTGGGGACCATGCAGTGGGGCATCTTTGAAAGCCCTTGGCTTTCCCGATCCTGACTGCGCTTTCCAATTCATCTTTTCTTGAATTTTACAGGTCCTAATAAGTGGACAGGGTCTTCAGTTTTGCCCTGAAAATTCTTACTTTTAGCTGAAATCATGTTTTAATGCCACTCCCCATTTCTGCAAAATTTTCACAAAGAAAGGCAACCCGGGACATGGGCATCTGTCTGTGAATAGTCTGTTTCTTATTTTTCTTTGAACTTAATCTCGTTCTGACGAGGAGAAGCTTCAGTCAAATTCTTTTCAAAAGCATCTCCAATTTTAATACAAGTTCCTCAGGTACGGAATATGCATGGGTGACCCCCTGGAAGGTGTCATAAGCAGTATGAACTTTAAAGTGCCTTCCCCAGGGTTTATAAATTGGAAGAAGGGCTGTATCTCTCCCACTAACAGATGGCAGTAAAGCGGGAATATCGGTAATAATCTGTATACAATTACCTTACACTCACAAGGATGAGATACAAATACAGTCCTTATCCTTCTGTTCCACTGGTAAGAAACCCGAGACCTGCTGGGTTACGTCCTTCTCCTGAGCAGTGGAGCTGGAATTGTGAATCTGTGGTCTGGAATCACCTTTCATACTGGATACACAGGTTCTGGGACTGGACACAGTTTTGCAGGATTTGAGTCCTGGGGCACTTGACTGTGTTAGGAGTGAATCCTGGGAGCAGCCTGAATTTTTTAGTATCTTTGTTCCCCAAAAGCTACCTCAGCTTCAATGATTTTGTCCCTCTCCTGTCTATTCCTGCCCTGGCTTAGCAGGTACCAACTTTCACCTTCCTCCTCCTTAGGCACGATGTCCCATTCCTTCCCAGAACGTGGTCCTGGAGCCTATGTTAGACACGAGCAGCTCTTTCACGGTGGACATAGTTCTAATTTACAAAAGGTTTACCTTCAGGACCACGTGCTCAATTTATCCCCCAGCCCCAGTTTGCTGATGAGCTGTGACTCTAAAGTTGTAACAGTATATCCAACTTTAATATTCAGGGCACAGCATGAAATACTAGTTGATATATTGCCAAAGCACTAGCTTTGTGGTCGTTACCTCTTCATAGTTGTGCTTTCTGATCATTGTGCTCTTATTAAGGATTTGCTACTCCCTGGAGCAGGATCTCTCTTCCACTTAAGAGAAGTGTAGCAAGCTGCTTCTGGCTCTCAATTCACAGACCATTTCCCTATGCTTAGGATGCTGGGGGCAGTCCACTGGACTATTTAAATGTCCTTTCTTCTACCTGTCCTTGTGCTTCTCATTTATATTGCATCTGTGCCGGGCAGCTGGGACTTCACTTCCTTTCACCTCTTTCTTCCACTGTCTCATCTGAAACCACCATGAGTGATTGAAAATAAGTCCACTAAAGTGCACGTGAATCACTAGTCATTGATAAAGGGTTTACACCTTTTCAATAATTATGAATTTGTTGATTAGCATTATGTGAAAGCTCACACGTCCCAATCTAATTCAGGTTTTTGTCAGGTGGAACAAGAATGCAAATATTGGAAAATCAGTCTCCAAGCAATACTGTGTCTGCATAGATTTTTTTCAATGAAGATTTTATAACATTCAGTTTGGTTTTTCATAGCTACAGTGCCTGCTTAGACTCACTTTTATAGTATAAGTAAAATATAATTATTACTTCATTTAACCTAAAGAAAATAAGCAGCCCCTTGTTGGAAATTGTCCTTACTATTGGTGAGGACATAATGCAGCAGGGGAGCTTGAGTGTGAAGGCATTTGCACGTGAGTATATAGGGGTGCAAATGATGGGCGGGGCTTGAGAGAATGGTACAGGAGGAGGAGCACCAGTGGCTGGTGAGGAGAGCGGCTGGACCCTGTTTGGGTTCCAGTTAGACCTCGTTTGCCCAGTTCCAGAGTGTGTCTTCAGTGGTCTATAGACCCTTCCATGCGTCATCATCTGTGACAGAGCCTGCTAAGAACAGGTGCTAAACTTCACCCAGGAACTGCTGGAAGTCCTGGTGCTCTCAATCTGAATTTTTAACAAGCCTTCCAAATAATTCGTTTACCAAAAACTTTGAAAATCACTGGATATTACCCTTATGTTTGAACCCAGTCCTCTACAGAGTTCATTCTTTTTTTTTTCCTAATGAGTTTATTCTTTAAAAAATTTTTGACAGATTCCTAAAACCAAAATTTCTTTCTGTTTATGGGGGAGGCGGCAAAAATTCAAAACCTACACCAAGTAAAACCCAAATCAGAGTCAAAATATCTTTCTCCTCCAACATTCACCACTTCTTTAAGGTGATGAGTTTGTTGTTTGAGGAGTATAAATATAATTGCAGCCCACTTCAAAGTCTTTATAATGACCACTTCCACCTGTCAGGCATGTGTTCCTCTCCCGTTAGAGCAGCCAGCAGGCAGAAGACAGGGATTCCTCACACACCATCAGCATTATCAGCTCATGTGACAGACATTTCATGCAAGGATGCAGTGTACAGAGTGGATAATCACATTAATAATGCCACTGGCACTTAAAGTGTGGCATTAACTTTTCTTTTTAATTTTACAAATTTAGAGAGTGATTTATTATTTTGCCTTGAGATGTGTGATTCCATTTGCTTATTTTAATTTACAGGTGTGACATTTTTATTATCTATTTGGCACATTTAACAGATGGAAAAATACAAATGCGTGGATAATTACAATGTGTCTAAGTTATGAATTTTCTGTGGCAGCCAGAATTCCCTCTGTATGTGAAAGTGATTTACTTGCAAGCTGTTTGAGGATGCACTAATCAGTTTGTTTTGTCCCTTTTAGTGGGGTTGCTCAGACCCTGAAGAAAGGGGAAGTTTTTTTGTATGAAATTGGAGGAAATATTGGTAAGCCATTGTTTTTCTCTTTGCATTCCGTGGGCTGAATTGACATTACCAGAGGTGGTTATTTACATCCTTGACAGAAGAAATATGGCATGCCTTTTAGATAATCACTGAGTAGATGGATTTGTTTAACAGTCTGATGTCTCTTTTCGGGCTCTGTTTGAATTGCTACTGCATTCAACTTCAGGAAAGGCAGGCCTCCTAGAGGAGCAGTAACTTCTAGAGTGGTTAAAGTGGAAACGGTTAAAAACTTTTGTTCTTATCCTGTCATAATGAAGGAGGTAGTGGATGTAATTTAAGACATTTTCGTTATGATATACTAACTAGATACTGTGGTTTTAGTAAAAGCAAGAATTACATATTGTGATGGTTTCCTACAGTTTAGAAATGTGCACACATTAGTAATTTGGGAAATGAGACCGATGAATTCATTTTGACTATATTCTATATTTTCCCCTTTTTAAATTGCCATGGGTCTTGCAGTTTTTAAAAAAATTAAAATTTATATTTTTATCTTATTTATATTTTTAAGTTTAAAATTTCATCTTTTTTTGACTCTTGCAAATGGTTAAGGGTGACATTGTTAAGAAATAAGTGAAATCATGTTTAATACCAAATAGTGAGTGAAAATAATTTAAAGAAGTGTTGTGGAATTTTTTTGTGAAACTTAAAAACCATTACTAAATGGTTTAAGCTGAATACAGCGAACGTGACGATGTGTTGGCAGAGATGTGGTCTTATTATATTGCCCAGGCTGGCCTCGAACCTTCCGTTTCCCCTCTTTATTCTCCCAAGTAGCTGGGATCATAGGGGTTTGCTACCTTGCCCAGCTCATTCTTGAAATTTAAACAAATCGTAACTCCAGGAGAAAGCTGGAGTTGTTAAATTTATGAGTAAAGATTCGTTAATATATTGGATTTTTGATTTTATCATCAGATCCTGGGCATGAATGTGCTTTCCTAGGTGAACTCACAACTGTGGTCATTCTTCCTGAAAATGAATAAGATTTTAAGGAAGCATAAAAAAGCCCAAAGAATTTTTCCTAATTTGAAACCTATTTATTTAGAGACAGATTATCAAATAGACTTTTCCAGTATTTGGGCCAAGTCTTCATCCATTGCCGTGGGAATCAGTAAAGGGGCAGATTTGTTTTGAAGTCCAAGACTTCAGAGATAAACTGTTAGGCTTGAGTTTGCAGTCACACCCGCGCCCGCCCACTGCGTTAGACTGACACCGGTCTCTTTCCCAGGGGAACGCTGCCTCGATGACGATACTTACATGCAGGACTTGTACCAGCTCAACCCAAATGCTGAGTGGGTCATAAAGTCCAAGCCGTCGTAGACCACAGCAAGCAGCACAGAGAACTGCAAGGACTTCTGGAGCAGCTCTCGCTGGGTCGAGAGTGTAAATAAAGGAAATGGTGGGGCTCTTACTCTTAGCTGTATCCAGCTATCAAAATTGACACCTCAGGCCTTAAAGATGTACGCATTTGTGCTGCTGCCAGAATTACGTTAATTATTAATAGTAGAAAACAGGTTTCTGGGTAGGCAAGGGGCTTCCTGAGCTTGCGGCTGTTTTCATATACTGTAAAACGCACCCAGATGTGACAATTGTTTTTTTTTTTAACATGAAAATCTGTTTTCTACCCCCTTTTTACTCCTAGAATCCTATTTTCTGAGGTATTTCCTTTCTTACCTCTTCAAATCTGTCTTTCCTCAATGTAGTTTGTATTTGTTAGTTTTTCTAGGTACAAAACAAAGTTCAAGTTATGAAGCCAGCAGGTATTAAAATAGACCTGATCGTGAAGTATTCTTGTCACTGGACACTGCTAGTATTCATGTCTTTGGGTCATTTATCCAAATAATGCCATGCTTCTGTGTCATAGGTGATGATTTGCCTTTTTTCAGTTCGTCTGACAGATTTGCCCAGAGTTATATCCAAGACCAAGCAAATAAACCACCAGAAACTGCCAATTATCACCAAACCATTAAATACTTAAATACTATGAATAAATAAAACACACCCATGTGGAATAGCTGAAAATACCAATACCCAGAGAGGGAAAATCAGATCACGCATAACGCACTCTTGCAAAGCTTATTTGAACAATCCTAGCTGGCTTTGCCCATTGTTGTATCAGGATCATAATACAATCTGGTAATGACTGGAGCATATATTCATAAAGCAGGGCTTTTAAATATTTTTGTCCTGAATAAGTCAACTAGCAGAGTTAATGTGGGTATAACCATCGTGTGAACAAGCTTTTGTTTGTGTACTTATTTTAAATAAGCACATTTATTAAACTGTTGAAAGGACTATTCCCAGGGATTTTAATGCATACACCAAGTCATGAGAAGAGGTAAGCCTCTGTATTGTACATAAGAGAAATGTTAAATATTTTATGAGGTTAGCGTGTAGTAAATAAAAGGTGATGTAACTGAATGGTGTGCCAACTTTGTTTATGATACTTTTAGTAGTTCTTTAGGAAAATTACGTTCTCAGAAGCTCTTGATGCCTCTCTAATTAGGAGTGAAAATGCTGTTAATGAGAACAGTCATAAATTTCTAGCATTTAATTACAAGAGCAGCCTGTGGATAGGATCACTTCAGTAACTTTCTGGTGATTTGTGCCATTGCTTTTTTTATTTAATGACGTTTTATAATTAAATACTTTTTGCTAAATTTTTTGAATTCTTTTAATACTGTGTGTTGATGAGTCTGCTTTCTTAATATTTTTGATTGACAAACGGAGTACATGACTGTAAGCTGTATCTGATTTTATTTTTCTATTTTACCTGTGTACGTTTTGAATTTGGAAGATAATGTGAGAGAAATGTCCTTCCCTCAGGGTTTTCCTTATGTAGATTTCTATTTTTAAGGACTTTCCAAACTTTATTTTGTTTCTCATTCTAATGATATGTTATTTTCATGATAAGCAGAATTTTTATTGATGGTTTGATGAAAGAATATAAAGGTTTGAAAAACTTAGGCTTGTGCAAGCTCAGGAATAAATACAATGGCTTAAATAAATGTCTTTCGAAAGCATACCCCATCTAATTTTCAGCATCTTTACTGCCTAGCCAGGAACTGGGGAAGACAGTACGAGAGGGTGTCAATCCTGAAAAAGTTACCAGATTTTGGTAAATAAAATTGAAGATGCCATTTTGAGTTCTTTCCAGGACTCATAACCAAAGTTTTTGCATTAAAAAATAATTGCATTTAAATTTTAGAAAAACAACAAAAACCTAACTGGAGAAATTTGATAGTACTGAGACTTGCATATACATGTTCTGGTATTAACTTACATATTTTTACTGCAATTTTTTTCAGCAAGTTTTAAACCTAAGTGAACATTTGTTTTTATTTCAGTGAGATGAAAAAATAACATATTTGCTTTGAGGCTTAAACCTTTTAACTCTTACAAGAGTTGCTGGTGAAAAGTAGCAGAGCTGGTATTTGTAAGGAAGACCAGACCCTTTGCCCTGTTAGGGTCTGGCAGTGCTTTTCTGAAGGAGGTCATTATAATTCCTTGCACTTACACAATCTTTGCATGCTTTTGCTGTAGGATTCAGTGTAAACTCCTGATTGGTTCTCTTTAGCCAAAGTAGTTTGTTTTACTGACCACGGGATTTTTCATTACTGTCTCTTGCTAGGTTTTTGTTTTGTTTTAAACCGGGTAACACCGATTTCCTGGTTTCTCACCTTCTTACCGGTAGGTGGCAGTGTTGGTCAGGGAGTCCCTTTGACTCTGAAATGCAGGAAGTTTTTTAACTGAACCTCAGTTCTCAGGTAAATGGTGGAATTCATTTGAATCTGCAAAGCAGCAGGCAGTCCTGTGGCTCTCTTGCTCAGAAGTTGCAATAATTACGAGAGCTTCACCTTCAATGCACAGGATTATTCTGCTTTTATCCTTAACCTCTTGATGGAGGAGAGATTTTGCTGACCCACAATTGGACCTTTGGCCATGTCTTGTTTCAACCAGCGAATTGTGACAAAAAGAAAAAGCAAACCAGTAAGATAAGAGGAAGGAAGTTGAGATAAGGAGCGGTAGTCCCCTGTCTTCATAGAGCATGTGTACTTAGTGGGCAGCTATGTCTACAGTCATGTTCTTCCCTCAGTGAATAAAGGTTCTACAAGGTTCACCCGTTAGGAGAGGAGAACAAAGAATGATAAATCACAGCCCGTGCTGAAGCATGGTAAATGCAGTGGGTGCCAAGGTGAGCAAAGTAGATGGGATAGGGGCTGGAGGGGAAGGCTCACGATGGAATTGAACAGGGGGGCTTATTTTTTTAATTATTTGCAGTACATAGTGATTACATTCCTCATGGGGAGCTGGTGTGTGGATCTCACACATCTTCATTCTTTTTTTTCTTTTCTCTTCTCTTCAACTCTTGGTCACAAGGAGTCTTGATGAATAGCCAAGTAGCTCACTAAAGACTCAGTGGAGGTGAGAAACTTGCCATTTGACTCTCTGGAAGTGGGGGACATTGAAGACCAGGATCCTAAGCAGGAGTGTGTCTTGCCTGTCAAAGGTTGACAACACCAGTGCTGAAAAACTAGTGAACATAATAAATGAGGTCTCAGAATAAATACCTGGGTCAGCAATAAGATCAAAAGGGTCTTGGGTCAGGGCAACAATAAATGTGTTCAGATTGGTACATTTGTGAGAGCAAAATAGGGCTCTGTTGGGCAGGTGGCAGCTGAAGCACCAAGTGCCCATCACTCTATGTCATGAAGGTAGAGCCTGTAAGGCTTCTGGTGTGAAAGAGAAGCTATTCTTGGATGCATTTATTGGTTTGTTGAGATAGGCTCTCGCTTTATAGTTTATTCTGGCATTGACTTACTGTGTAGTCCACGCTGGCCTCAGCCTTATGGTGATCCTCCTGCCTCTGCCTCTAAGTGCTGGAAGAAAATGCATTTTTAATTAAGCATAATCACAAGAATTTTGTTCCAACAGCAGGTGTAGGGAAGGAGGAACACACACATGAATTTCATCATGGATGTAGTAAATTTGAGGTGGCTGTTTGACACCCAGTTGGCAATGTTTTATAGCAGTTACACAGGCAGACATTTGAGGGAAAGGGCTTGGCTGGAGTAGGCTCTGTGCATATGGGATTTCAGCTTCAATGAAGCATGCAAGAGGTATCTAAGAAGATGAATGTGAATGTGGAACACACTTCTAAGAATCGAGCTCTGGAGCTGCCCACACTGCAACTACAAAGAGGAGAAGGAACCAGCAAAGAGTGGAAAGATGCAACCTTTGAGATGACCAAGAATCTGTTGCAAAGGAGAAGCAAGCGGAAAAAAGGGCACCAAGGAGAAGAGGATGGCTGGGATGTCAGAGGTCAGAGGAGGTAAAGGCTAAGAACTGAGCCCTGGGTTTATCCACGTGGAGGTCACTGTGGACCTTGTAGAGTACTCAGGGTAAAGAGACCAGGGGAATGGCAGACTTGGTGTAGACAGCTTTAACAAGTCTACTGCTACATGAGAAGCAGATAACTAAGACTCTAGCAAGGAAGTGGGAGGTGATGTCTAGAGCATCTTAAACACGGCAATAGAGATTTCGGAATTCGTGTGGCTCAATATTTTGATAAGTGGTGGACATGGATACCAGAGCCAGTTGTAGCTGGATTAACCAGTGTGCTCTTGGACAAGTTCCTGTCCTGTGTCTAGGTTTCTGCTTTGTAAAAAGTAGGAATGTTTACTTTTTGAGCATCTTACTAGTGTAATTCATGTAAAGACCTTAGCAGCCTAATTGACTGATAGCAAGTATTCAATGAAAGACTTTTATTAGTGTTAATGATTAATATTATCAGAGCTGTACCTTAAGAATTATCTGAAAATAGTGTATCAAATTCTCTGTTCTCCTTAGCTAGAGGAAAAATGTAGTAGACCCATCAGGGACAGCAGAATAAGCAGGTGGTATAGGGGTCACCCCAGCTCTATGGAGAATAACAAGCACCTCCCCTCAGGGGATTCTGATAGAACCTGCTGTCTCCAAGACGGGAATCATTTCTTGGGCTTTTGAACATCCCTTGAGTAACCCCACTGCCATGCTGTTTTACCTGAAAATTGGTGGCTGTCCAGAGGAACTAGGTCAGAAACAATTTCAGAGTTTTCAGGGAAATACTGCCAGAAGGCGCAGAGCCTGTGTCAGGCCAGGAAGGAAGCAAAGCCCTGTGCAGATTTCCACACTTGCTCATTTCTGGGAGGGTCCTGGGCACCTAGTGTCAGGCACCCTAGAGATCCCACTTCATTGTCCTACTTTTTCTATTGTTTCTCAGACTCCACAAATGGTAGATATTAGTTATAATTGCCCTGCTGTTGTCTTTATGTCTTTGATCTGGACGTGGTGTCTGTTTCTCTTTCCACCTGTGATCTAAAGTGTTACCATGGGAAGAAGCTCGGCTATGGCCAGAGTGTTGCACAGGAACCATCAGAGGGAACCCTGTCCCTCTATACAAACATTCCTGAAATGCCTTGCCATTACTCTCAAGGGTTTCTTGAGTTGTATTTCACATATGGCTGCCTTGTGTATGAAGAAACAGGTTGGTTAAAGAATAGACGTTTCTCTGGTGTTGGTGCTTAAAGCCAAGACACCCCAGCTTTGTCACAGTGGGCCTTTTATCTTGAGGTTTCAAGTCTTGATTTCTCAACCAGAGGAGCTCAGGTCAACTTCACAGAAAGCAGCTCCCCCCTCCGTGTCTTTACCCTTTTTTGGATGTCCACCCTCGCTGCAGCCCAGCAGCTCAGCTCGGTGTCTTCTTGCATGTCCTGCAGCCTTTACAAAATGACAGCTTTCATGCCCTGTCTACCTTGGGTCACCTTACCCTTCAGCAAGACTGGAGCAAACCAGACATTTCCTCTGGAGGGAAGCTCTTAAGCAGTCGCAGGGGCCCAATTCTGAGTGATCCATCCGTTAAAATGTTTCCTGTTTCACTGGATGGTAGCCTTGTTCCATATATGAAAAAGGAGAGATTGAAGCATTACCTGTGCCTTTACAACTCTTTTCAATAGGCTAAATCTTGGGGCATTGTAACTTTGGCTGCTTCTGTCACCTAGTTAGTATTTGACAAGAATTCCACTGAGAACATGAAATAACTATTTAGAGGTTATGCATCTCCTTTGTCCAATATTTTGAAACATGTCCTAGGACACACCTCAACCTTATCTTTGTATTAAGGGTGGAATTAATAGATTTGTTTATGATTTGGTGCTAGGGATTGAATCCAGAATCTTGCACATATTAAGAAAACTACTATTACGCTCTTCTGACTATACGTCATGCTTTATTCTCAAAGAATTAGGTATGAATAGATAATAACTTAAGATATTCTGTTAATTCGTTTCCACACATTTGATTCTTGCTAGGTGCTGTACCATGGTTTATGTTGTAGGTGACAAAAAAATCTGTTGTATGAAGAGAGATTAGATTGGCTAGGACTGATACAAACTGGTGTTAGGGAATGTGTTCTCAACAAATAGACTGTGATTTGAGGGAGGCAGAAAGAGATTCTGCTACATGAAGAATAAAACACATTAGGAGCATAGAGAATGGGTGCTGTGAATGGGGTGGTAACAGGCAGTGGTCTCTAAGCTGGAAGCTGTTAGAATATTAAGGACTTGATCAGGTCAGAAAGGGAGGTTCAGATTCAAGCAATGAAGTGAGCCCACCAATCTGTTGCTGCACAACTGGAGTCAGAAGGGCTTGAGGACTCCCTGGGCTGCGATGAGGTGAGAGAGGGAGGTGCAAAGGGGGCTCATGATGATGGTTTCCAGCAAGTACCCGAAGAGAGGGCAGTGCTGGGGTGCTATGAGGGGACTGTGGCACAGGCAGCGGAAAGGACAGAAAATAATGTATTGAGTTTGCGGTGCAAAAGGCTGAATGGTTAGAAGTGAGATCTTAAGTAAAGTTTATTTGACAAGTACAGTAGTACCTCCATTCAGAAACTTGCTCCTTTCATGATTCTGATCCGAAACTGAATGAGACAAGAACCGAATCAAATTTAATGGGTAGGTTCAGTGTTAACCTCATTGAAAAATTTGA